TGCCCAGTGTCTTTACTAAAATTCGACTCGGGCAAGCAAAACGCACTCGTTTCTGGGAAAATGCACCCACCCGCGGGTTCAGGGACGAGTTGCTAAAACCGTAATTTTGCACAAATACGCGGGGTTTTTTGCTTTTTTCAGAAAAAGAAATTTTTGGAGTGAAGCACAAGCTTACTACCTTTCATTCAGCATCTGATTTCCTGCTTAGCACCAGTAACCTATCATAGGCCAACGTATAAATGACCCATAATCCCTACTTTTTTCTTCAAGACTTATTGCCGGGCAAGAATTCAGCTCTTTTCCAGTCCCCCGCCTCCCGTTATCCGTAACTCAAACTAGCATATCCAACCTTTGACCCTCTTTCGTGCCCCCATCCACGCAAATCTTCCCCAACCTCGCTATCCAAGAAGTTATACCACAATTGTCGCAACTCGCACTCCAACCGGCCGAGCCGAGTTTTAGTAGTTGTCCAGAATTAAGAAAATACGGCGAACTGTGCAGACAGGGGGACCCGTGTGTAGGTGAATGTGGTAAGGCAAACTGTGCATTGTTGTGGTGATCTTCTGATCGAACCAGAAATTGGAAGATTCCAGAAAATTCACGCTTACCCAAAAAAATTACCCGAACGTTTACCCAGAAAACATACCTAAACGCTTTAAAATTACACAAACGCTTCCCCAAAAAAAATTACCCAAACGTTTATCCGGAAAAACTTACCCAAACGTTCACCCAAAAAATTTACCCAAACAGTAACAAGAAATTCCCGCCCTCCCTTCTGAATTTATATTATTTTGGAAAATCTCGAAACGGCTAAAATCTTGCGAAATGATTTTGTCAGGAGAACTGTTGAGCCAAAATTTGTCCCATTTCTGTATACCGGCCTACATACAGTAAATATTCCCATGAAACGTGGGCACTCAATTCAAATTAATTCGCAAATTGGCACTTTGCCAACAGTGTCTGGATTTCAACTTTGACGTGACCGTACGCATGACGCAGGCGAATGTAGTCGCCAGCAGAGAAGGCTGTAGTGTACAGGTGACTTTTGAGGGGGGACACTTTACGAATGTCTGCATGACAAGGTGCTCCCTGTCCACTAGAAGACCCTCAGTGCACAAATTTACTATCGGTATATACCGGGACTCCTGCAAAATCCCAACCAAGGCACTACTATCTCATCAGGCTGTGGCAATAGCAACGGACAAAACAGTGTTGAGGAATGACGGGGTACAGCGCCTGGCAGCTTCAAACATGTCGAGAAGGCATTGCGCCGCATCTATCCGGCCAAGCTTACTGATATACAGGAAATGCGAAAAAGAAGCACCGTGCACTGGAAAACTGAGCTCCCTCCCGAAAAGGAAGAATGAAGCCAGCAACAAAACTCCTTGTTTGCAGATTAACTTTGTAGTTTCAATGGGATATGTGACGATGTAAAAATGTAAGAAAAATGCTGATATATCAAAAATGCAATGAAAATTTATCTGTGCAGAAACTTGGTCTGTGCTTCAGCCCCTTTCTCCGCATCAACCTCTACTTATTGCTCCGTCAACGTCCCAGTGTTCTTCTGTTCCTGCATGGTTAATCAGACCAGATCACTAACTCAGACAAACAATGGGAAGGTATAAAAATCACTTATATTGCCGTTTCCTGCTGTATAACAAATGATACTCATCAGCCAGTGTGCCGGCTGTTCGTAGCTCTGGAAGAAACACCCGTCCCATTTTCATCATCGATGAAAGTTTTGGAAGGAAAGCGAATTACTGTTTCGGATGGAAACAGAAGAGTGTCACAAGCCCATTCCAAGAAGGATACAAATGGAACAACTTGTTCAGTTCATCAAATAGCTCAGTGCTGCTCCTCCAGAATGGCAGTATTTTTGATATTCAGCGTGCTAATCCAAACGGTACTAGTGGATGCTACAGGACCGGTATGCTTTTATAACAGTGCCTATAAGTTCACGATAAAAAAATTGTCAAAAATGCTACCTGTTCGCTATGACAATCGTATTTTCAAGTGCCAGGCCGCAGAATTTATTTTTCAAATTTCCTGGATCAGTCGAACCGCACTTTTGTACGGGTCAACATCTCTAAACTGAGAAAGTCATTCTTTTCTTTAATTTCTGTTGCCATTAAGATAAGGAAAAAGTTATCATTAGAAATTATAATGATAACAATAGCAATAATAACAATAACAACAATGATAGTATTAATAATAGCAATAATACGGATTGCATTTGTAAGAAATACATCAGAAAATATGAAAAACTGCTTTTTCAGTTTATGCAAATCTCCTAATCTTTGCCCGTCTTATGACACTATTGCGAACCCTTTTTCGCGTAGAAAATGAGAGATGGCTTTTCAGTGATTGCGCTATTAAATTTTACTGCTTTGCAGTTTTTCTGCCCAGTTCAGTCGATGAATCAAACGTATGAAAACAAATCCAATTTCACAGATAGCCAACGGGCAGATCTGAGAGGGCAGTGTGCGAATTCGACTTCTGCAAGCAACAACACTGAAGGGGCTGGTCACTACAAAACGTGCAGTAGGCGGCGTTCACTTATATGTAGTTACTGCGATAAAACCTTTTTTACTCCTTCACTGCTGAAGATTCACTTAAGGAAATACACTGGCGAGAAACCATACAAGTGCATACAATGCGATAGGAGGTTTGGAAAATTGGAAAATTTACGAGTGCATTGTAAAGTTCATACTGGTGAGAAGCCGTTCAAATGCGATCACTGCAATTCGAGCTTCAGGCAGAAAACAAACTTGAAAAGACACATGCTTACTCATACTGGTGAGAAGCCGTTCAAATGCGATCATTGCAATTCGAGTTTCAGCCAGAAAATAATTTTGCAAGAACACATACGAACTCATACTGGTGAGAAGCCGTTCAAATGCGACCGCTGCAATTTGAGCTTCGGCCGGAAAGCAGATCTGCAAAGACACACAAGAACTCATACTGGTGAGAAGCCGTTTAAATGCGATCACTGCAATTCGAGCTTCAGGCGGAAAACAAACTTGAAAAGACACATGCTTACTCATACTGGTGAGAAGCCGTTCAAATACGATCATTGCAATTCGAGTTTCAGCCAGAAAATAATTTTGCAAGAACACATACGAACTCATATTGGTGAGAAGCCGTTCAAATGCGACCGCTGCAATTTGAGCTTCGGCCGGAAAGCAAATCTGCAAAGACACACAAGAACTCATACTGGTGAGAAGCCGTTTAAATGCGATCACTGCAATTCGAGCTTTGGGCAGAAAACACACTTGCAAATGCACATGCGAACTCATACTGGCGAGAAGCCGCACAAGTGCCAGTTTTGTGACAAAGCGATGAGTAGCCGAAGCAACTTTATTCGCCATCAGAAAACCCATAGCGGGAAAACTCATACAAATTCAAATTCTTCCTTGTAAAGGTTATCGGATGCTGTTTTTTCGGGCAATCTTAAATGAGTGCTTCAATTGCCAAGATTAACGAAATTATTTTAGCTGTATTACTCTTATGCTCCCACATGTCGGACGCAGCTACCCCAGGCCCTTTGGTCTCGAGTTGCAAATCTCCGATAATATTCGCCGCCTATCCGATGCATTTACGCAACCTCTGCGGAAATCGTCCTAATGGTCACTTATTCCTGGGAACATCACTCACTAATGCGCGACGTCCAGCGATTGCCAATTAAGTCAGCAAAATCCAATGCCATTCGGGAAAATGTGATCAACAACTTTGTTTTCTAAAGAACATATACATTTCAATCATTGTGTCACTTTTGCATGTAATTGGAGTGAACGAACACGGGGACAAAAATGCACATTCCAAAACCGCCATTTCTGTGTCCATTTTAGGCGCGTAACAAAGTGATTCGCTCAAATTGAACGGTTTTCCCTTTAATTGCGCTGTCTTTTTTATTAAAAAATGTATTTGGCATTTTCGAAGACACAGTTTTTACACTTTAGTGTTAATCCTCTCTCTTCTCGCCAGTCTGATCGTCTATTATTAACACACGCAGTTGGTCTTAATCCAACTGCATATGTTAATGTCATTCCAACTGTTTTTTTATCAAAAAATGTATTTGATATTTCTGAAGATACAGTACTTGCACTTCAGTGCTAACTAGGTATAATTGCACAAAACGCATGACTGCATCAGCTGTCTAAGTGTGCGCCGCTGTTTATTTCTCCCTCATCCCTCCTCTACTCCCTGCACCTCTTCTTTTGTCTTCCCCATCTTTATGAACATTAAGATCATTGTTCATTTCTTCCAGTCGATTGAAAGATTTTAATTATTTGGTAATGTTTGCACTACCGGTCTATGTACACGAAAAAATATTGGGAATTACTATAGATTATCAGGAAAAGAGGTCCTTGTGCAAACAACAAACACGATAATATGTTTGTGTGCAGAACAGCTTGTATCCAAAAACACGCCCCAGAACATTATCATGCAAAACAAGCTCGAGGAGTGTAAGCCAAAACTTTTCTACTCTTTGCTTTCTTGGAAAAAAAAAATTTTTTTTGCGACTTAATCTGTGCACAAGTAACTTTGTGCCACACATATTCTCACATATGCAGTGCAGTTAAAAGTGAACACCAAAGTTAGAAATGGACTGTCTGGGTTGCATTAAGATAAGAAATTGTTAATTAAAAAAACGGCAGCTTTTGTTGGGAATTTAAATCAGCCGAGAAATTGTTGGTCTTCTGAAAATTTGTGCATTTGTTTACTTGCTTTTTGCAACATTTGCCAACTAAATAAGAAAATTTATTTCACCGAGCTCACTGCACTGGTAACAAACAATGTTGCACAGTACTAGAGTTTTTTGAGAATAATGAAGTTGCCAGCTGCATCAGTGATGAGAAAAGTGGCGATAAACAACAGCTATTCAAAAGCAGATGTGTGTTTTCAAGGTGAAAAAAGAAGTATTGTGCTGGCAAATCCATGTTTTCAACGTAAATGAAGGAAAGTTTAAGACCACGACAACGGAATACTGAGCGCTGACTGGACTTCCATGTCATATCACTTTTTATGATAAAAAAGTACATTGTCTTTGAATCGCGTTTTTTTGAAAATTTGGCTAATTTAGTATTTCTTGCTTTGTTGCTGATGGAAGAATAGGATTTCAGACAAATATATCCAAAAATTATCCAAAAAATAACCAAAAATTATCAACTAAATACCCAAAAATATCCAAAAATTATCACGTCCGGGATGAAATACTGAAATATCGGAATATATTAGTAGGAAGAAGGAAAACAGCTAATCTTCCTCACTGTTCGTATAACGACTGTTTATACGATGAGTAGGCCTGATCTGAGCGTAGCGGGACGAATGTGCGAACGCGTTTACCGATCGGCTTCCCGCTACTGTCACGGGCCTGAGCAAATCCAACTTGTTCATTTCCCACGTCGAAGACGGTATAATAGCGTCCAATGAAGACATCGCCAAGGATCCACAGCTCGCCCACTTTTTCCGGTAGTTCGATTCCCATAAAACCGGATAGGCATATTGATTTTCCCTCTGCCGTTAGCTGGAAAATAGGAAACATTTCAAAAAAAAAAAGAGCTTTTTTTTCGAATCTGTAAAGTATCGTGGTCCAAAAGTGATATCTTTTAAGAGGAGATGATAATGCTCAGGTGGTGATACATCGGAACGACTAAAGCCTTGCCAAACTGTATCTGTCGAGAAAACCGCTGAGATGGTAATCCTTTCAGGAAACAAAACAAACACCAAGTCTGTCAGCAGAATGACCATCAAGTGATGCAGCACAGGTAAAAGCAGTTAGAAAAGTTTCCAGCTGCATAATTCGAGAAAAACGGTGCGAATTATAGCTGATAAAAGTAACAAAAGGAGCACTGCAAAAAAGCTAATTCAAATCCCATTTCCAGACAGAGGAGATATGGGAGTAATAAGAATGATAACATCCGTCAAATGCTGCTGTTCGACACAAAATCACCGGTGGTATGCGAACTCAGTTAAAAGCGGCTTGGTCCCTCAACATGCTGTTCGGACAAGTAAAACGTCAGGTATTTAAAAGATCAAACATCTCTGGATGATTTTCTTCTAAGTGGAAGACTGGAAGCAACAGTAACTCGCGCCGGAAAACAGAAACAAAAATCAAAAATTTGGAAAAAAAAAAACAAAGTGAACAGCAGTTTTTCCGGAAGAGTTCTGCTTCTTTTCGCTAGTCATGGAATGTCGCAACTGAAGAGGGGAGGATTTGAAAGTATGGAGGAAGAAATATGCTGAACGCGAATAAAGCTTGGTATAGGTGCAGCCGTTGTGCAGGAGTATCCCAGTTACATCCACTTAAATGTCCTATTCCCCTCCTCCCTTCCTCTCTTCCATTGTTCTCGCGCCCCCACATCCCGCTGTTCGAATGTCATGGTATTCTTGGTAAAAGTGAAAAAATCTTTCAGAATGAGTTTTGGCGACCAAAGAGCGATAAAATTGAACGAATTCGGTTTTCGGTATTTCAGTCAAAACTACACAAATAGTTTCTACTGCAGAATGAACCAAGAGGAATTATTTTGGGCAGAAAAAAAACCTGAAGCTAACAACAAATTAAAAAGCTTTTACATTCAAAATATAATCCGTTCCTCTCAACACGTAGGTTTTGCCAGCGATGACGATGGTAATTTCTGGAAGCGAGGGTACTTTGTTGCATGGCACGATGTATTCGCCATCGAACGTATACTCGGCGCCAATATATTTTTGAATATTCTCCACCTGGCTCTTTGGTCCGACAATCAATGAAGTACCTGTGTCTGCTACCACCTAAAACTTGCCACTTTTATTTCTAGAAAACAAAGAATCCCGCGATGAAAAGAAAATGAAGCAGTAATCAGCCAAAAACAATCGCAACCTGGATTTGCAGAGCCACTCCTTCACTTTTATTGTTGTGTCAAACAGAGTTTGACGGGCAAAAATATTCAAATTTTCGCGTGTATGAAAAACAGCTCGGTGATATTCATTTCCATCATCAAAAAGTTCAGGTCTGAGGTCAGTGCAAGCTGCACTGACAGCAAAAATTTTAATTCAGTCCGAATTAGTTTTTTCTTTTTCCTTTATTGAGTGCCACTTCAAAAAGTGAATTATTTCTTGAAATTAAGACACTTGATAGTTATATTTTATAACAAAAAAAGTGCCACTTAGCTTTTCACAGAAAATGCCTCTGTAAACAGTTATTCAAAAAAAACCAGCCTGAGGTAAACGTGAAATTGAAGTTTGAGTAATCAGGATCAAGCACTAAATTTTTGAAGCCTTTTGTTTAGACGCAATGTAGAACCATCAAATCAGCTCCTCATTTTACTACATACTAGATAACTTAGGCTGCAGCTGAACATGACATACGTGTGTGTAAGTGAACCCGGCCTGAGCGTGATGTATCAGTTGATATAAATCCTTAGCAAGTTTTTAGTAGCACTGCTTCCATTGAAGAATCTCAAAATCAGAACTAAGAAGAAAAAAAGACGCTTTTTTGTAACACTGTTCCTAATGAAGAAACCAAAAGTTTTGACTTCCTAGCTACTTCATCCGCGTAGTTATGATCATATGAAAGAATGCTGTCTATAGAAAACACACAGGCATTTCTTTTACATTGACATTTACAGTACGGCGCATTTCGTTGATAAAAAGGCAGTCAAAAAACGAGCATGAATTACTCATGCACATATTCGAACACATACCTGGCATCCCTTAGTACAGGCGATAGCTCCATCCTTACCCTGAACACTATCCATCTGGAACAGCCAGTAACCATGGCGTGTAATTGGTGTGTAGGTAATTGGTGCCACGTATCGCCGCTCATCTGTACCGCCGAAAGTTATTTCACCACCCACTTCATCATTTGGATTTCTGGATAAAAAACACGGAATTGATCTCCGAAACTGCTTATAATGCTTCGAGAGCTCCCAGATGCAGCAATTTTTGTGTGGACGATTTTACAC